CCCCTAAATCTAATAACTGGTTGTGCCACCCTTTGCTGCAACAACTGCAATCAAGCGTTTGTGATAACTCGCAATGAGTCTCACATCGCTGTAAAGGAATTTTGGCCCACTCTTCTTTGCAAAATTGTTTTAATTCAGCCACATTGGAGGGTTTTCGAGCAGTTTAAGGTCATGCCACAACATCTCAATCAGATTTAAGCCCGGACTTTGACTTGGCCACTCCAAAACCTTAATTTTGTTTTTCTTGAGCCATTCAACGGTGGACTTGCTGGTGTGTTTTGGATCATTGTCCTGCTGCATAACCCAAGTGCGCTTGAGCTTGAGCTCACAAACTTGTGGTTAATGGCTCTGACTGTGGTTCGCTGTAGTCCCAAAGCCTTAGAAATGGCTTCATAACCCTTTCCAGGCTGATACATGTCAACTATTTTGTTTCTCATCTGTTCTTGAATTTCTTTAGATCGCGGCATGATGTGTTGCTCTTTAAGCATGCTTCACTTTGTCAGACAGATTCTATTTAAGTGATTTCTTGATTCAACAGGTCAGGCAGTAATCAGGCCTGCGTGTGGCTAGTGAAATTTAACTCAGCTTTCTAAAATAATGTGGTTAATCACAGTTCTTTTATGATTTAACAGGAGGGGGCAATTAATTTTTCATGTAGGGCCAGGTAGGTTTGGACAGCTTTTTTCCCTTAATAAAAGAAATAATTTAAAACCTGCATTTTGTATTTACTTGCTTTATCTTTGTGTAATATTAAAATTAGTTTGATGATCTGAATCTTTTAAGTGTGACAAATATGCAAAAAATAAAAAACAGGAAGGGGACAAAAACCTTTTCACGGCACTGTATATACACACACACAGGTGTATATGCGTGTATAAAAATAATGCAGACCCACATTGTTCACATAATCCAATGCAGTGCTTTATTATGTTATGTTTTTACAATTTGCTGTGTTTCTGTCCACAGCTCGGTGTGGTTGTGCCGACACATGCCTTGACTCTTCCAGAAGAACCAATCACAGGGCCTGGAGAGTACTGGTGTAATGTCACAGTAAGTACATTTACTTTAAAATACAGTTTTAGGATAATTTAGCTCAAATGCTCTCATATAATTCATTCATTGCTTATCTGAATGTTGTTTTCTCCTCTCTCAGGTGAACGGAGTGGACACAGTCAGGGTGCCCATGTCTGTGGTGCAGTTTGTGGAGCCCAGTCAACGGCTGCTGATGAAGAAACAGGAAAAGCAAGAGCAGTCAGATTCAGAGTAGTGTTTTCTTCACTAAAATGCTTTGCAGGAAACAACTTGGAGAATATACACAAGGAATTTGTACAAATAAAATGATTTTCGTTTATTTCTTTTTGTGTGGTCTGTTTTTCTTATTTTTCAAACTTGTTTTAAAGAGTTAAAGTACAACATTTTTGAAATAAATTAACATGATCTTCATCACACTATGTAAATTCTCACTTAGAACAGGGAAATGAAGTGTATCTAGTCAAATAAATTAAAAAATGTGAATTTAAAATTTGTCATTTACTGCATGATGCATGATATACGATGTTCTTTGTCTTTAAATTTTTTTTTTTTTAACATTTCAGGATGGGATGTTACATCCTCACCCACATTGCTATATCACTGTCCACTTGTTTTTGGGTTTATTTATTTATTACAACATCAAATCAAAATGACTGATGAAAGTGGTGTGCATCAAGTACCAAATATTTACTATTTTCACTTGTCATACAAAAATGTGTAGCAAAATACGTAATTTTGGGGAAATATAGGAGAAACTTAGCTTAATTGTATATTTAAAAATAAAAAGAATAAATATTCTGTATTTATTTATACATTTTTATAAACTATTTTTCCTGTAACATCAAAGTACATAATTTTGGAGAGAAAAAGCTTTATGTTTATATATATATATATTATATATTTAATTGATTAAAAATAAAATAATATACTTTATTGTCAATAACAGTATTATTCCTACATCAAGTAACCTAAATCACTAGGTTAACCTCTGACTGCTGTATTACTTTTATGATTTTTTTTTCTTTCCGCTATTTGTGACCCTGGAGCACAAAACCAGTCTTAAGTCGCTGGGGTATATTTGTAGCAATAGCCAAAAAAACATTGTATGGGTCAAAATTATAGATTTTTCTTTTATGCCAAAAATCATTAGGATATTAAGTAAAGATCATGTTCCATGAAGATATTTTGTAAATTTCCTACTGTAAATTTATTAAAAACCTAATTTTTGATTAGCAGTATGCATTGCTAAGAACTTCATTTGGACAACTTTAAAGGCGATTTTCTCAATATTTTGATTTTTTTGCACCCTCAGATTCCAGATTTTCAAACAGTTGTATCTCGGCCAAATATTGTCCTATCATAACAAACCATTACACCAAGCTTATTTATTCAGCTTTCAGATGTTGTATAAATCTCAATTTCGAAAAATTGACCCTTATGACTGGTTTTGTGGTCCAGGGTCACATTTGGGTATATTGAGATATATGATTCTATTATTTACATCTCATCACATTATTTACATTTTTACACCACTGCACATGATGCATTCATTAGTGATTATGTTGCGATCTATTACATAGCTTGTACTTAGAAGTATCTTTTCCTTCCAGAACAGCCCAGAGTCGCCGTCTCACTTCAGAATGTCCGTATCAACTTGACAGCATCATAAAGTTCCAGCATAGTTTTCAGCTGGAAGTGTCGTGTTCCACCTCAACAAAATCATTCTCTGTTGAGAATGAGATCTGAAGTACCAAAAAATCACTGCCATTTTTACTGGGTCATCTTGTCACTGTGTGTTATGTGATATGGGAAGCATCTGTTTGAAAATGGTTAGTCTGCCCAGATAGGGCTGAAAGAGCATGTTGTCCAAGTGCAGTAATAATTTTTTTGGCATCAAGGGGCCACCCGAACAAACTTTTCTTGCCCTGTCAAGAGATCTCTCTAACATACTGGTGATTTATCTAAATAAATAATTTTTGAAGAGTACTGTAAGTTCGACCTTCACAATGTTCCATCCTCCAGTAACGGCTGGGTGTATTTACTACTAGTCCAACCCATTTAAATGGCTAAAAATCTGTATGAAGTTCAAATTCAAGTAACTGACATTTTCAACATTTTTTTAAAGTTGAGTAAAACACCCAAATTCAATTAATATGAAATCATTGTTCAGTTTAATATTTTGTGTCTTGAACTCATTCCTACATTTTTACACATTTAGCATTAAAGTCCTTTTAACCTTCTGCAGCTCTATGTAAAAATAGAGTAAATGTCAAATTATACTGTAAAGAAAGTGTATTGTGCGCAGGTTTATGTATTTTTATTTCCGGCAGTGATATAGGAACTATTTCACACATAAAAGTGTTTTTACACACAAAATGAAAATTGGAGTATATTTTCTACAGTTGCAGTGAAATTGTTATTCTTTATTCATGGTTCTACGATTAAGAATCAACATTCATATGAAAACAAGCAGCTAAAAGATAGGAAGATTCACTCAAATACTTTTTTACAAGGTTTTGCAATACTTTACAATAAGATTGTATACATTAACATTTAATATTAATTTTGTATACATTAACAGTAATGAATGCATTTTCAACTAACAATAAACAGTATTTCTATATTAACACTGACCAAAATGAAGAAATGCTATAAAAAGAACTAATGTTAACATAAAGAACCTTATTGTAAAGTGTTTCCAATTTTTTTATATATATATATATATATGCCACTGCTCACGATGGCAGTGTGGAAGACAAGACCTTCCCAAGTCAAGACATCCCAATCATTTAATAAACAAATAAATCATGTGAACCAACAACAGCTACTATTATGTTACAGGTGACCCAAAACCCAATGTAGTTTAAATGGAACGATAATATTAGGTAGACAACTGGGAGCAATCTTCAACATTATAATAGCAGCCAATAGTGTTTTAAAGTCCTCAGCTCCTTTCCGAAACAATACAAACTGGTATTACATCTCTAAAAGCTGGCAAAAAGATGGCATTTCTGTATTGGCTGCAGTCTCGGACAAAATCTGCTCGACATTAGGTAGAGGTGTGCACAACATCTTGATATCCAGTCCATTAGAATCCATACTTGGCTTGCGTTTGTCGTCGAGTTAACTTGTTTTCAGCCCAGTTGTTCTTGAGTTCCAGCTCGCGTTCCTTGGCCTGATGAATCAGATATGTGATTTGGTGCTTGCGTCTCTGTTGTCCTGTTGGCTGATCTCCTTTTTTCTGGAAAGGAGATGGAAAAGTCAGACTTTTTCTTTCATTTATCTCCTTCAAACAAACAGCCATCAGAAAACGGACACTTGAGGTGCTCACCTTGCTGAAGGACTTGCGGGGCTCTGCCTCTGCTGTCATGTTCTTTGTCAGCCATTGCTTATTGCCACTCAGCTGATCGTCTCCTTTGATCTCCAGGAACTTGATTTCTTCTCTTCCACGATTCTGTTTCCCCTGTAGCCGCCGCTGCTGTCATGATGCTGGGAAGCACTAGATATTTGCTAGAGCATTCTTAGTGGTTGGTAGGTCGCTATACAGAATTTTACACCTCTTTTGCATTCACCAGGCAAAATTATATATAAAATCTCAATAAGATGTATGATATGAAGCATCATTCAAAGATGTGAGATAAATACACAACTAAATTTAGGATTATGGATTAAAAAAATCTGATCAGCTAAGGACAAAATGTTCCCATTCAATATGACATTACAATAATAATAATTATTATGATTAATTAAATATTTTATTATTTAAATTACATGAATTCAATCAATAAAGTTACAAAATTACAAAAAACAAGTCACTATTACTAAGAAATATATAGTATTTATAAATATTATTGCAATAATGTACAATAAAAGAGAGAATGTAATAAATCATATTTAAATTTTTTAATTACTAAAATAAAAAAAATAAACCAATTCATTGTTTGTTAATATATGTTTGTGTACTGTGTATATTTATTATGTATATATAAAAGCACACACATACAGCATATATTTTGAAAATATTTACATGTGTTTACATGTATATATTTATATTCATATAATTTATATTATATATAAATATATTTAATATATAAACATAACATATTTGTTCTTAAATATATACATGCATGTGTTTGTATTTATATATACTGTACATAATACACAGTACACACACACACATATATATTATGTGAACAAAAACGTTTCTTTTGGATGCGATTAATCGCGATTAATCGTTTGACAGCACTAAAATTAATATATTATAAAGAAATATATACTATAAGAAATATATTACTAATATATTGCAATAATACTACTATACTGTACAATAAAAAATAACAGTGTAATAATAATACATTCAAATGTTGCTATTGTTCTAAATGATACTTTTATTATTATTTAAATTACAAAAATTAAATTAACAAAGAAACACATTACTATTGCAATAATAATATTGTACTGTACAATAAAAATGATCTAATAATAATTATTATTATTATTATATTTTATTTCATTATTATTTAAATTACAATATGTTACTGCAACATGGCAATACTATAAAATGTTTAGAAATGAGAAATACCAACAATATTGATTATTATTTTATTTAAAGAATGATAATAAAATTCAAATACTAATATTTATGTCTATAAGTGGAATAAACGCATTTTTTATTCAAGCTATTTATGTGGGTCATACTTCAGCTTGAAAAATATGTAAATAATCCATATAAATACAGAACAAACACATCCCTGAGATAATAAAGATACTACAAACAACTTACTGCTTCATCATTGAACAATGAAGAGGATCCTGAATCCTCTTGCTCATCAGCCGCAGGGTTCGGGTCTTGGTAATATCCTTCACCATAGTAATCCTGCCAAACACATGCATAAAACATCAGCTGCTGACATGACAAGCAATATACTGGGGTATGAAGCTTCTTCATAAGGACAGGTTTTACCTGTGGAGAAGTCTCTGGCAGTGGATTTGCGGGATACTGATGTTGATATTCTCCGCTCTCATAGTCTTGCATGGCTCCGGCTGATCTACTGTGACTGTCTGCGTTAGGAACAAAGTCCAGTGGGGCGTCCTCCACACCGGGTGGAGGGTGCAGAGAGGGAATGTACTGCTGAGAATGCGGGTTTTGAGACATCACAGGCTGTGCTGAGCTTTCCGGAAGGGAAAAGTAGTTCTCTGGAGCGAGTTCATCGTCACTTCCCTCTTCATCCGCGGCCATTTGTTTGGCTAGCTGCAGCGCCGCTGACTTTGCAGCCGCTTTGATGGCGGACGGGGACGGGCTGCTTCCAGAAAGAGCCTGGGACTTTGCTGGGGTCGCCTTCGGCTTATCTGACCCAGGGCGTTTGGTTAGGGTGTGCGGCAGCAGGGGCCGCGCGGTCTCCTTCACCACCAGATTCTTAGGCTGGGGAAGCAGAGAGGACAGACCACCACCTCCCTGGAAGAATATAGAGAAAATATTCTTTTTTTTACTATTATGTAAATTCACAGAGACCATTTATACATTCACGTTTTTTAACATTATGATGAAAAATGGGCCAGCGCGAGAATGCTGTGGTATTGATGCTACAACCAACAGCTCATTAACATATGCCTTAATCATTATTCATGAGGGAAAGAACTACAATCCTATGAAGCATTGTGAATGACACAATTTAATTAAAAATGATTCATATTAAACAATTGATTTAAACATGTTGATTATGTGTATAGAAACAATATATTTTACGTTTACTATAAAATATGCATATTATGCATACAAATATTTAAGTAGTTTGAGAGTGGAAAGATTTGCTTGTTATGATTCTCTTAGTGCTGTCAAACGATTAATTGCGATTAATCGCATCCAAAATAAAAGTTTTTGTTTACATAACATATATGAGTGTACTGTTTATACTTATGTATATATAAATACACACACATTGTGTGCATACACATACATTGCATGTATATATTTAAGAAAAAAGCGTTATGTTTAGATATTAAATATATTTATATATAATATAAATTATATGAATATATATACACATGTAAATACATAAATATATACAGTATGTGTGTATTTATATATACATAATAAATATACACAGTAAACACACACACATATATTATGTGAACACAAACTTTTATTTTGGATGCGATTAATCGTTTGACAGCACTAGATTGGTGGAGATTTCTGCAGAGTAGGTTTGTTTTTTCCTCACAGTAGGTCTGTTTTTAATGGTTTATAAGTTAGAATTTAAATTCAATTCACCTATGGAAAAAATAAGGAGATTTTTATTTCCAAAACCTGACTGTTGCACTCAATAAAGGAACTGTAGTAAACATACTTAATAGTTAATTATAAATAATTTATATCAAATAAATATATTTATATCTAATTATAGATATTTAATAATACTTTTATATATTTAAATATTTAAAAACAAGCTTGTTTAATCCTAAGGATCAGATAGTTCATTATACATTTATATCTAATAAATATATTTATATCTAATTATAGATATTTAATATTTGTTTAAATATATTTTTAAAATAGCTTGTTTAATTCTAAGGGTCAGAAAAGGGAGAAAATAATCATTTAAAATTAAATCACAGCTGTTTTGGTGAAGGAAAAAAAAACACTAATAGACTCAAATGCTTTTTTTTTTTTTATCCATACCCGAGGAGCTGATTTCTTTCGGACGGGCTCATCATCATCAGAGTCAGACTAGAACAGAAAAACACCATCAGTCAGAAACAGTTTCAGTAAAATGATTGGGCATTAATGGATCTCTAAAACTCACATCTGCTGGTTTTATTTCAGGAACGGTGATTTTAACGGGCTCTGTGCGTTTCTTGGGTTTGGGCAGATCTATAGTCATCCTCTTAGGTTGAGGAGCTGATGTCTGATCCGCGGTTTTCGGCGCGGGCAGAGACGTGAAGAGTCCGCCGATCTTACCCGCGGGGCGAAGAGGTGAAGCCGGCGATTCATCGCGATCACTGTCGTCGCTGCTGTCGTACGCTACCAGAGACATCTCCACCGATCAGACCCGTTCAGTTCAGTTCATAAGAGAGTGAATCAGACACAAGAATCGCTGACGAGCTACTTTTGCATCACTTTCATCAAAGCAGCTCCACTGATCCCATATCCTCCTGTACTCCCAGATTTATAAGGACCAAGATTGTGTGTAAATATCTAATAAATGTCAGATCTCAACATCGATGACAAATTCGCCTCCAGATAATTCAACGCTTGCTGTAGGAGCTGTGCTTGCATTAGAAAAGCAGGTTTTAAATTACGCGATCAACATAAATATATTAGTCTAAACAAACAAGTGATAACTGTTAATAATTATAAATCGTTCCTCTCTTAACCATTAGACCCATAAACATTTTTCTCTTCCACCATCGTGAAGTATATCCTCAACATCCGCTGCACCGTTTCACAGGATTCCGCAACACTGCCACCAACTGGACTGGAGTGGAATCTCATCAATAAACCAATGAATGAATAAACTGACGAACAACTGAAAAAACCCCGAATGTTATTATATACGATAGTCTTGCAAAAAAAACAAAAACATAACTGACCCATAGGTCTACTCGAGAAACTCTAGATAGAACCCCTATACATAATGTATTTTTTATGATATTTTATCAATTGTTAGGTAGATGAACAGATAGATAAACATAGTTTGTTGTTGCTAAGACAAAGAAGCTAGTTTTCAAGTTGCATTTGTTTAATACTACTTCAGACATCAGTTGTAAACACAGCAAAAACTTCACCTAAAATTGCGTTAGGCTTTTATGTGTCTACTATTTGTTCAGTAAAGGTTAGTGTTAGGCAGAATACGGAGTGGTGTTGGTAATATTTTTTAACGTTTTTGAAAGCATTCTCTTATGCTCACCAAGGCTAAATTCATTTCAGAAAAGCAGTTAAAGCAGTAATATTGTAAAATATCATCTGAATAGAAAAGCTGAAATGTCAGAAGTCATTACTCCAGTCTTCAGTGCCACACAATCCTTCAGAAATCACTCTAAATATGCTGATTTGAAACATTTCTTTTTAATCTCAATGTTAAAAACAGTTGTGCTCAATATTTTTGTGGAAACTTTTTCACATTTTTCAGGATTCTTTGATGAATAGAGTTCAAAATAGCATTTCTTTGAAATGGAAATCATTTGTAACATTACAAATGTCTTTTTTAATCTATCAATTTAACACACAAGTAACAAAAATAACAAAAGTATTAATTTCTTTTTAAAAAATAATACTGACCCTAACTTTTGAATGGTAATGTACGTTTGTACAGAAAATAAGCCATGTGTATCAGCTGGTAGCATGTGTCTGTGGCATAAAAACAAGGAAACGGACTAAAACATTTGGTTGGGTTTATTGACAAAGTCTGCAGAACACATACAATATTTCTCAATGATAAATTATCTTGCTAATGTTGTTAAGTTTAAACACACAGTCTCTGTGGTAACTCAGTACCAGTAGCTTTTACGAGGCCTTCTATCTTCCTGAATGTTCATTTTCTCCATAACTTCTTCCTCTAGGGTTTTCAAAGATGGTGTGTATGTTTTCTGAAGCGTGTCTTCTGGTGATGTGTCTTTGGGTCCATCTGCAAGGTACATAAACACTCTCAGATTTCTGATAACTGAACCATATTTAAATGTCTAAAACTAAAGGAAGAAATGCATTGTTTTTAATGTGTAAACACAGCAAAAACTTCACCTAAAATTGCGTTAGGCTTTTATGGTCTGTAAACTGTGTCTACTACTTGTTCAGTAGAGGTTAGTGTTAGGCAGAATACTGAGTGGTGTTGATAATATTTTTTAACGTTTTTGAAAGCATTCTCTTATGCTCACCATGGCTAAATTCATTTCTGAAATGCAGTCAAAGCAGTAATATTTTAAAATATCATTTGAATAGAAAACAGTTGAAATGTCAGAAGTCATTACTCCAGTCTTCAGTGCCACACAATCCTTCAGAAATCACTCTAAATATGCTGATTTGAAACATTTCTTTTTAATCTCAATGTTAAAAACAGTTGTGCTCAATATTTTTGTGGAAACTTTTTCACATTTTTCAGGATTCTTTGATGAATAGAGTTCAAAATAGCATTTATTTGAAATGGAAATCATTTGTAACATTACAAATGTCTTTTTTAATCTATCAATTTAACACACAAGCAACAAAAATAACAAAAGTATTAATTTCTGACCCTAACTTTTGAATGGTAATGTACGTTTGTACAGAAAATAAGCCATGTGTATCAGCTGGTAGCATGTGTCTGTGGCATAAAAACAAGGAAACGGACTAAAACATTTGGTTGGGTTTATTGACAAAGTCTGCAGAACACATACAATATTTCTCAATGATAAATTATCTTGCTAATGTTGTTAAGTTTAAACACACAGTCTCTGTGGTAACTCAGTACCAGTAGCTTTTACGAGGCCTTCTATCTTCCTCGTTACATCCACAAGGGTCAAACTTGTGTAGAACATGCGCTACTTCCTTTTCCTTTCGAGCCAAGCGACGTAGATGTCAAAATAAAAGTCTCGATTGGCAGCGAACACTTTCAAAAAAAAATTTTTTTTAATTAAAAAATAAATTACCGTTTTTTTTAATTGAACAGAGCTATTTTAATATGTTTTACGGATTTAGAATAATTCAGTAAGTCTTCTTGAAATACAGATAAAATTAGTTTTGTCGGCACCTCCAGGAGAAGGTATTAGGAGTAATATATGTTAGTAAGACTTTTTAAGAATTGCTTTTGGGAGAATATGAAAGCATAAACACATGGCTCTTAATTTACTGCAAACTGGGCTCGGAAATGTCAACAAATCAAATTCTGGATAATTTTATTTGGTAAACAACACACAATAAATTCATGTGACATTAAGTTTATTTAAGGTGACTAAGTTACTGGAGTGAAATAAATCAAAGGAGTGTAAAAAGTTGCTCTTTTCATGTTCCTAGGATTGAGTTGAGCTTGACATTAGCGTGAGCTGTATTAATGATTGAAAAGCTGTGTTCATAAATGTAGTGTTCTTGCTTTTACAATTAAGTGTTCCTGCTTTCAGTACATAAACGTAAATGGCAGGTAAAGACTTTGGCAGTAAACAATTCATATTACAACAGTAGTATTTATTAATACCAATTATTGTATTAATACCACCATACAAATCCATAGTGTGAATTTTAAACATTTTAAGAAAATACTCATTATTGTTAGCCCAATAACAGTTGTTTATGTTTTATGAAAAAGTACACAAAATATGATAGCTGCCTGACAGAATATTAAAAGGATTCTATCTTTTTTTTTTTTTACTCGCATAAAACCATTAACCAATCAAATCGCCTTTTCATTCTGTATCCAAGCAGGATGACTCAAACCAGCCAACTAGCGTCGAGCTTTGCTTTGTAGTCAGGCAGACATAACACAGTCGTCCAATCACAAAATAAGCCGAGAGGGGATTTTTGCTCTATATTTGTCTCAGGTAGTTTCTTTTTCGTTTATAAAATAAACGGTACTATTATTTTCTATTTGAATGAGATATTACACTAGGTAAACTTTGTACAATGACAATAGGTATAGTTTATGAGAAAGGCCAGGTATTTTAACGTAATAATCGAAGGTTTTCGAGGCGTACAAGTGTGGCTAGCTAGTTCTATAGCAACAGTCATTGGTAATGATATTAACGATAGCTAGCTTGTGCATACATATACTAAAAACTAAAGTTATTTTTACAAATGATGTAATTAAGTTACGAATTATATTAAGTAACTGTTCATTTATGTCGGTTTCGTTAAGTCGACGTCTCTTCGGCCTGTTCAAACTCATGTTAGCCTATTAGCTGCTATGTCACGCTCATTTAAACTAGGCTGCTGTGAGGTTTATTTCTAGTGATCAATGAGCGTTTGCGTTTGAGAATATGGTTAACTTGCGCTAAAATGAGCTTTTGGTCATAAATAACCAATGGCTTCGTCTAGTTTCTGGTTGGTTGGCCTTTCAATACGCCCACAAAGAGATACACATGGGTGTAATCAACCAGACCTGTGCATATCTCATATATGCTAGTCGTACATTAGATTAAATCATGCATTAAAGTGATTGAAAGTGATCGGATTTGCTCCTGGTGTCATGCATACACCGGCTGAACGCGTCAGTTTCTTATGTTGAGATCTTCATTGGGTGCGTGTGTGCTGAATATGAGGAAATGTCTGGACTGGGGCAGGAAAAACAGCCCTGCAGTATTGGGGCATGGTCGCTATCCGATTGACCTAACAGTTTCATGAGTGGCTGTATTCTCGAAATCTTGAGCGTTTAGACGTGGGAGAATTAGGCGCTTGCGTGGTTTCATTTCGTGTTTACAGTCTGTCGCTGTACGTGTAAACCTGGCCTAAATATGTCAGTTTGTAGTGAAACTGATGATCATTTACAGACATGTGATGAATTGAATGTTTACCAGTAAGCAGCTTGTTCTTAGACTGTTTTAACATATTGCCTGCAGACTTTAAGTTCTTGTGCATACTAAAGAAATACTATAAAACAATTGTGCCTTTAAACACTTTATACTACATATATGGTCTAAAACTGCAACACCCTACAACTTTTTCTGTTGACTTTTAGTTGCATTGATCTAATGTGCAATGTTCTGGTTGCATGGTGAATAATCCTCTCAATAAACCTAGAATTAATTTACTTTTTAAAACACACTGTTGCATATTAGACACTCAGCTTTGAAAGTTATCCAAAACCTTATGTGGACACATACTAACATCTGCCTCGTGTTCTAGAGCTTCAGGTCCAGGAGGGTTCTGAATGCAGTTTGTCGGTCCAGTGTGGTTGAGACATGGCAGAAGATCAGTTAAAGGCAGACGCCTCGGCTGGGGAGGGGGAGACGGAGCCCAGTATGCTGCTGCAGAAACTTAAAAGCAACATTTCGTAAGAACTATTTATTTTTACTCTTTCTTCATTGTGGTTCAGATAGAATGTTAAATCTTTATTTTCTGAAGAAATGGTATATCATGGTTAAAATTAAGCAGAGTGGTGTTTGCAGAGCTGTAGCATTAAGGGAATATTTTACCTAAAAAGGAAAGTTTGTGGAAAATGTACTCACCCTCAAAATGTGGTGATGATTGTTTCTTCATTGGAACGGATTCGGAGAAATTTAGTATTACTTTACCTGCTTACCTATGGATCCTCTACAGTGAATGGGTGCCATCAGAATCAGAGTCCAAATAACTGATAAAAGCATCACAATAATCCACAACACTCCAGCCCATCAATTACAGTCGTGTGAAGCGAAAAGCTGCATGTTTGTAAGAAAGACATTTGAAATCTTTTAAGGCATTCACTGAAGAGGATCCATTGGTGAGCAAATTATGTAATGCTATATTTCTCCAAATCTGTTTTGATGAAGAAACAAACTCATCTACATCTTGGATGAC